AAAATGGGCAAAGGATAGGTCCAAAAGGAGATGGTTGGAATTAGTAAAAAAATATATAGGGACTTGTGGCCTCACTAAGAATATGACCATTGATAAAGCAGAATAATAGGCCAAGATTAGTATAGCCGACTCCAAATAGTTGATAAAGAGTTTGATGATAATGATGATGATATTTTTTATTTTTAAATTAATAGAAAGCAGAATAAAATATTATTAAAAGATTTAGGTAATGAATACCCCTTAGCTAGATGCACCCGTTGGTATTCCCAGAACCATGCACTATGGCCCAAATATTGGAGACCATTTTATAGGATTAGATTATTATTGTGAGCACTGCTTTCCTTTCCATTTTATCACTGCATTTTTAATTCTTCCTTATGCGCATAATTGGTGGTGTAACTTGAGATCAGAATTAGGTGTGTTGTAATCCCGAAAAAATATGGGGACTGTTTCTTTTTGTTTTTGACAAATAAATATGGGGACTTTTTTATGTGAAGAAATTTTGGTTACGTTTTTGTCGTCCCCATGATCAACTCAAATGAAAGGATTTAGATAGATTTCATAAAATGCTCCAAGATAGTTGCTCCTATAGTCCATTGAGCGACAATGGATCCATGAGTTCAAACTCTCAAAAGTTCTCTCCACCCCTCCCTGTTTTCTCTTTTCTGAATAAATAAAGATAAATTGAAACTTTTTGACCAAATAAAATATCCTTGTCCATAACTTTTGAGGTTTGCAAGCATGTGTGGTTGTTTTTGCATCACGCGAGTTTTGCGCGTGTGCATGTGAGTGTTTTCATCCCAGTGAATAGACGACATTTGCGGTGGCAATGCATATGGACATTATATGACAGGTGTTATTTACATTCAGCACGGATGTATTTTCCTTTCGGATTTTTTAAAAGGAAACAATTTATATAGAGTTAAGGCTCTAAACAATCAAATTAGAGCGTACCTCAAAAATTTCATTAGAAGAGGTTGTTTATTCTCAAATATCCTCAAATTGACGATCTCTTTATCAAGATGCATGAACATAGAAAAAAATGAATTTCAAGGTTTGGAAATAGTGCATTTTGTAATTCATTTTTTATCTTTCAATTTTCAAGATTCTATAAATTTGCTCGATCTATACAATTTTTAATCTTTAAATTTTATAATTAGAAGTGAAAATATATTTAAAACTATCACAAAGATTTCCAATATTGAAACCACATTTCTCAAGACTATTTGAAGGTGGGGCTCTACTTTGATTGTTTAGACCCTCGGCTCTATACAAACCGTACCCTTTCCAAAATAGTAAAAGTTATTCTTCAAAGGAAAAAGTTTATATGGAGCTGAGGCTCTAAACAATTAAATTTGAGACTACCTAAAAAATTTCAGAGGAAGAGGTTAGATGCATGAATATGAGAAAACAATAGATTTCAAGTTTTGTTTTCGAAATAATGTATCTTGTAACACATTTTTGGACCGTCAATTTTCAAGATTTTTAAGTTTTCATAGATATGTCGATCTACACTATTTTTGAAGTTTTATACTTTATAAATAAAAATAAAAATATATTTTAAAGCTATCACAAATATTTTCAGTATTGAAACTATATTTCTCGCCAATATTTGAAGGTAGGCTCTAATTTGATTGTTTAGAGCCTAGGCTCTATACAAACCGCAGCCTTATTAAAAAGCTCATCACACCACCTGTATTTGTTTCATGGGAACACTCTTCATACCGAAACTTTCAACCTCAAAAGCCAGAGAGACCCATGAACCAACATTTAACCTAACTACCTCTTATTTCTTTCAAATGCATTAGCGTTTTCCCTACCAGCTTCAGGGATACAAGGAATGAATCAGTAAAAAACATAAGCCACGATTAAAACAAAGGAAGCCCCAAAACATCATTATGAGCATATTTTATAACTTTTCAAAATGTAAACAAATGTGGAGACAACTTGTAGAGAGACAAGTGAGTTTTCAATGATAATAGGTGTACATCGAGAGTTCGTATTGAGCCCATATCTTTTTGTTTTAGTTATAGATGAGTTAATTAAGAACCTACAAGATGAAGTACCATAGTATATGTTGTTTGCATATTTCATAGTTTATTAATTTTATAGTTTTGTTCAATAAGACAAGAAATGGTGTCAACACAAAGTTATATCTTTGAAAGATACTAAAAAAAAATCTAAAAGTTTTAAAATTAGCCGGACTAAGGCAGAATATATGGAATGAAAATTTAGTAATGATAGAAGTAGAAACGAGGAAGTAATTAAGATTGATGATTAGCAAATACCTAAAAAGAGTATTTTTTATACCTTAGCTCGATAATCTAATAAAAATGAGAGATTGAGGAAGATTTCACACGTAGAATTAGAGCTGGGTGAAGGAAGTGAAGATGTACACCTGGAGTTTTATGTGACTGCCACGTGCTAATGAAACTGAAGGGAAAGTTCTATTGGACATTTGTGAGACCAACTTTGCTTTATAGGACATAATGTTGGGCCGTAAAAAAATAACATACATATAGGATGAATATAGCTGAGATGATGATGTTGAAATGGATGAGTGGCACGACAAGAACGGATAAAATTCAAAATAAATACATTCAAGGGAACTTAGATATGGCTTCAATCATAATCTAAAGAGGGAAAATAAACTTAAGTGGGCAGGCCATGTCCAGCATAGACCCAATACAACAATAGTTAGGGGATGCCATTTGCTTCAAGTGTAAAGCCCTAAAAGTGCCAGTGGAAGGCCCAAATGAATATGGATGGAAGTAATAAGAAGAGATATGGGGACTAAAGGTATGACCCTTGATAGAGTAGAATGACAGAATACGATATGTAAACAACCCCAAATAGTTGGGATAAGAATCTGATGATGATAATGATGATGATCATGATTTAGACATTGTTTTTATCTTCAGGTTTCATTAGTAATTTTCTATATAAAAAAAAGATTGGGTGTACATTGGGGATGACTTGGTTCATGGAAAAAAGTAGGTCTTCCTTTTCTCCCCCAAACCTCATTCAGGTGGTCTCTCCTTGGTATTTCCCTATCTAGTACTTTTCACACACACTCTCTCCCCTCCCCCTCTCCATCTTTTTGTTGTTTTTTCCCTTATATTGTATCTATTTATTTCTCTCTTATCAATATTTCTGGTATGCATACTCTCATTTTCCAAATGTGGTGAATATTTTTTCATTGTTTTGCTGTTTGGTTGTGCTTTCTCTCTCTCTCTAGTGCATTATTTAGTTCATTATGTCAGTCATTCTTCATTGTTGAGCGTGTTTGGTATGCGTTCTTTAACTTTACTCATGTTTGGTTTTTGCTCTTTCAGGACCCTTGCTTTTATGTGCTTTGTTCTCTTTCTTGTTGTTCAGTGTGTTAGCTTTTTCTCTATGTCCCGACGCTGCATAGGTGCTTTTATATCATTTTGCTTAATTTTCAAAGTAATTGAAGGTGCTTTTGTATCATTTTGTGGTTTATGCACTCATGTTCTCTATTAGATGACTGATCCTCACGTTAGTAGTATCCCTTGAACATCACATTGTTAACTACTATTTGATCTTGGTTTGTTAACCAAGAAAGTTTGTGGTGGCTGTTTTTCAAAAGTTGTACTTACATTAATTTGACTCCAAATAATCTACAATATAAGATACGAATCATTTAATTTGTTATTTATGTAATGGATGTCTCAAATGATCTACAATATAAGATACGAATCATTTAATTTGTTATTTATGTTATGGATGTCTTATTTCCAGGATACCTGTTTTGTTGGATACATGATAATATGTAATGGTTAACTTATAAAATACACAGCTAAACTGGTTCACCAACAAACTGCTAAGACTTGGTTTTGAACTTTGACGTAGTCAACATGAGATTTGTCATACACTAGGCTTTTCTAAAGAAACACTGTACAAAAGAGACCATTTACTCTTGGGTGCGGTTTGTAAAGAATCGAGGATCTAAACAATCAAAGTAGAGCCCACCTTCAATTTGTGTCGAGTAATACGGTTTTAATACTGGAAATCTTTGTGAAATCCTTAAAATATATTTTCATATCTAATTATAAAATTTAAAGCTTAAAAAATAGTGTAGTTTGAGCATATCTATGAATGCTTGAAAATCTTAAAAATTGACGGTCCAAAAACATACTACAAGATGTACTCTTTCCAAAACTTGAAATCCATTTTTTTCTCATGTTCATGCATCCGGATGTCGAGATGATCAATTTGAAGATATTTACACATCAAAACAACTTTTTCTAGTGAAATTTTTAATGTAGGCTCGAATTTAATTGTTTCTAGTGAAATTTTTAATGTAGGCTCGAATTTAATTGTTTAGAGCCTCAACCCTATATAAATTTTTTCTTTTACTTTTTGTACAAAAAAGTCACAATCACTCATGTCTCTGAGATTTTAAATTAAGGGTTGTAAGAATGTTATTGAAAAGACTTAAAAGTTAAAAATAAAATAAAAGCCTCGGACTTCGTGACTAGCTCAAGCCATCCAATTTGGCTTCTAACGAGTAGGAGTGATTGTGACCTATTGGAATAAAAAGAAATGGTCTCATTGTATATAATTACTTTTCTAAAAGCTACCCAAACAAAAATGTTGCTAAAACTAGAATTTATGTATACTAGAATCTGCATACCCAAGTTTTGATGCATATTTAAGTCTGGGAAATAAAAAATCCAAATGACCCATAAAAGAGTAGAAACAAGGAAGAGAAGCTCTTTTTATACTTAGAAATAATTGAAGGCATAAGCGGCACACTAATGGATGCCACAGTATGATGTCTTGAATTCTATTTCTAATGCAGATAGATGACCCCTTCCCCACTAACATAATATAACACAGATGAATTCTATTCCTAACATAGATAGTCGACCCTTTCCCATTGATCAACCCCAAAATAAAGGATAATTCTATATTGCCATATAATGAAGTAAAAATGAACTAGGGTTTTATAGAAAACATGAAAATAATCCAGGAAAAAAGTACTTGAACAGGTTTCTTTCTTTTCATATTTGCTATTTTTTTTTTAGGCCAGGCCATTTACAATGATATACCAAAACCAATATTAACATAAGCCCTCCTCCACTGCACCACCATGCACCATACTTACAAGCCTTTTGTATGACTACCCTAACATATTTCAGATATGACCAGTTAAGCCTTCTCAAAAACCATAGAGTCCACCTCAGGTCATTTATATTGACACAACAAAACCAAACTACCCTTATAGATCTTTGTAAAGACACTCTTGCATCACTTCCAACCTAAGGTAAATCACTTATGTACGATTTATATTTTCTTTCTGTTGTTCTAGGGGCATTTTAGTTATTTTCAAGGAAAGATGGCCCTTGTGCTAGTGCCTTAGTCCTCGCAACAAAGTAGACTCATGGTTTGGCGAAATGGCAAATTGGGTTCCTTTTTCTGTTCCAAAGGGTGCAAGAATTTGCAATTAGGGCAAGTGGGTGAGGACTTGCAGAGCACCACTAGCATGTGGCATCTGAAACATGGAGTGGCGACCATTTCGGTGGCCGGAAAATGCTTAGGATCATCGGTTTTTGGCCTTTTCAGGTGGTCGCCATCATTTTCAGGCAATGTGAGGTTGAGCTCCAGGTCGAGACGCATAGAGGGATGGGGTGCCTCTCTTGGGTCCTTCCATGTTCTCTTTTGAGTCCTTATGTTGTAGAAGTGTATCTCCCCTGACTGCTCAGTATCAAATAAAAAGTTATAGAGATTACTATGCACATGTAATTTTTGAAATACAAAAATAAATTTTAATTTTTTTCATTTCATGTTATTCAAGTAAGGATACGGTTTTTATGAGTCCATGTACAATTGAGTCAACCTCTTAAAAATCTATTTTTGAGACGGATTTTTGGACCTAATTTTAAGGACATCTAATCTCTAACATGTAGATCATGAATATAAAAAAATTAAAAAAACTAATTCTATCAAAAAAACATTTGGATTGTTAGATTCAATTAATTTTAGATGAACGACCTATTTGCATCCATCTTTATGTGGAAGCTTTATACTATGGAGAACGCAAATGTAGAAATGCGGTCCCCACCACATGAAACGATTTTCCTTCGAGTAATTCAACAGTGTACAATAATGAAATATTAAATGTTAACAGAATAAATCTTGGGGGTGGAAGATCCTATGCCAACCATGCGTAGATGAAGATTATAGGCAGGGCTTCAACAGGATTACTTCAATATTAATCGAATTTTGATAGAAGTCATCCCTCATTTTGTTAAGAAAAGCAAGCAGGAAGAATATTTAACTTTTGTATAAGGTCACAACTATTTTTAGTCATTTGATGTCTAATTTGAGGGTTAAAGGTATGCTATTGATCGTGTTCAAAGTGTTAAAAAAGACATTTTCAAACTTTAGTTTGTGATTATAGTCACTTGATTTCATATCTAATGACAAGGAGTGGTCGTGACCTTGTACCAAAAACAAATAAAATAATGTTTTATTGTAAATAATCGACAATGAAAGTGATAGAATCAACCAACTGAAAGAGTGGTGATTACTAGAAGATCATTCTCCAACACAAGAATCAAATATCAAAAGCTTTATTTTTCTCATTGTAGTTGGAGCAATTTTGTTTGATTGAAGTAAATAATGAAACGATAGAGGAACCCAACATTAAAGAGTCAGGTTCCCTTATATACTTTTGTGCTCCTCAAAAATGAAATAAAGCGGCCCAGTAAATTTCTTTTAATGACCAAAATACCCCAATTCTAGTCCAGTTGATGGAAGTGTCCTATTTTTGTGCGTGAGAGAGAGAGAGAGAGAGAGAGACAGTGGAAACAGGTGCGCAAAAACAAATCGATTTGTATTTTGATTTAAGACCATATAAATTGGGTGGGAAAATAGCTTATAGAGAGAATTCTGGAGAAAGAATTTTAGAGAGAGAAAGAGTGGAGTTTAGAGAGAGAAGGGTTTACCTGAAGGTCGAGGCACTGTTGCCATTCTCGAGGGAGTGGCCTCTCTAAGTGGAGCTCTACATCTATGGGGGTAGCCTTGTGCTCCAACTGTAGTTCTAAATCATCCCATCTCCTCTTGTTGTTGTTGATTGATGCTGTGTTCTTCTCCAATTCTCTCTTTTCATGATCTCCAGAGCTTTGCATGGGGAAGGAAACCATGGCGTTACAGTCTCTCTCTCTAACACCTCCTATTCATGCTTATGTTGCAGAGAGAACGACAGAGGTGGGTTTATAACATGAGTTCATCTCTCTCTCTCTCTCTCTCTCTGGAGAATGTCTACTGCTTTCTCTCTCTTGGCTTCTGTGGGAAGAGAAGTGCGATGGAGAATCTATGTGGGGGGCTTTAAAAGGCATCGTAGGGCCCCAGTCTTTAAGGAAATTAAATAGTTCAGGTCGCATGGTTGGTTTTATTAACTTCAGTCTCTCTCCTCTTTCTCTTTCAGATGCAAATTTAAGAGTTTGTGCTGCATGGTTGGTTTCAAACTTCTCTCTTTGATCATCATTTCTCTCTCTCTCTCCTCACTGGAAATTGAATTAGTTTGTTGCGTCTCTTCACTCTCTCTCTCTCTCTCTCTCTCTCTCTC